CAACCTCTGGAGCAGGGCACAGTGAGGGCCTGGGTAGACTCTTAGCAAGGCCTCAGCTTTGCAGGGGAGCCTGGGGTGATGGGGAGGGGTCTTCTGGGCTCTCTGCACCCCCAGCACTGCCCTGGTGGGGGGGGGGGTCCACTCCCATGACCTAGGCAGCCCCTCTCCCAGCCAGGAAGTGTCTGGGCTGGGTGGAGGGAGGAAGTGACCGATGGGGGAAGGACACTCAGCCCAAAGGCATTTCCTGCCTGGCTGGAGCCTTCTGTCCCTCCCCCACCCCATGCAGGGGAGCCCGGCCCTTGGGGAGAGGGTGGGGGGGCTAAGCGACTGTATCACCCACCCCCCCCGCAGGTAGTGACCCTGTGGTACCGGGCGCCCGAGGTCCTGCTGCAGTCGACCTATGCCACCCCCGTGGACATGTGGAGCGTGGGCTGCATCTTCGCAGAGATGTTCCGGCGCAAGTGAGTGGGGTGGGGAGACGGCACACGTGCGTGATGGCACAAGAGTGTGGCGGGGACACGCTGGGCATGGCAGGGCCTGGGTGAGCACCTCTGCCCCAAGGGTAGGGAGCAGGGGTCTTTGCCAGCCCCCTTGGGTGGGTCCCACTGTGTACAGCATCCAGTGCAGGGGCAGGGTGGGGCCCAGCGGCTGGGAGACAGTTGATTAGAGCCAAGCTGGGGTTGACCCCCGGGCGCCTTATCGGCCAGGTCCTGATAAGCAGGGTGGGGTAGGGGCCAGCTCCCCCTTCCCTGGAGGGGTAGGGGAAGGGGCGATAAGGGGGTGGTCCATGTGCATGCAGCTGCCTCTGGGGGGGCGGGACTGGGTCAGCTCCCTGCAGCGGAGGAAGCAGTGCCAAGGTTGGCGTGGCCACACCCAGGGGGCAGGGGAAGAGGCTGAAGATGGGGGGCAGGGCTCCCCCCCAGCCCCCTCTGACCTCAGCCCTGTCTCCTCCACAGGCCTCTTTTCTGCGGCAACTCTGAGACCGACCAGCTGGGCAAGATCTTCGAGTGAGTCATGGGTGGGGGGCATGGGAATCCATGCTGGCAGCACCTGGGGGCTGTGGGGTCTGGCGGGACTCCTGTACTGAGTGGGGGGGGCCCTGATCCTGCCAAAGCTGATGCCCACTCACGTGCCCTGTCCCCCCTTCCCACCCCACAGCATGATTGGGCTCCCGGCGGAGGACGACTGGCCCCGAGACGTGTCCCTGCCCCGCGGTGCCTTCAAGGCCCGTGGCCCCCAGCCTGTCAAGACCTTCGTGCCTGAGATAGAGGCCCTGGGTGCCCAGCTGCTGTTGGTAGGTTGGGAGTGAGGGGCACTGGATGGGTTGTAGGGGGCTGCAGGTTGGGTGGGCGGTGAGGGGTGTTGAAGGTGTGGATAAAAGCGAGGCCTTGCTGATGCATTAACCCTCTGTTGCTCTGAACCCCCATCCTGCTTCCGGCCCAGCCTTGTGTGCGGGGCGGGTCTCCACACTCCATGTAACCCCTCCTTTTCTGCCCCCCTCCCCCAGGAGCTGCTGACCTTCAGCCCCCACAAGCGGATCTCGGCCTATGATGCCCTACAGCACTCGTACCTCCAGGATGCCAGTGCAGGAGAGGGGTAGCCCCCCTCCGCCCCAGACCACCCAGAGGACTTGTGCACAAGGACACTGCCCCACCGACCCCACCCCCCTCTCCGCTGGAGGGCGTTTGGGGCAGAGGTGCTGCCAGCTGGACGATGCCATGGACGGTGCCTACCCCCACTTCACCATGGGGCACCTGGGCCCCTCTCCTGGACACTGACCTGCCCCTGGTGAAGCCCCCCCACCCAGACACTGACCTGCCTTGACATTACGGCCATATCGCCATTCCACCCTGCCCCTGGTTGTAGCCACGGTTTCTCCCCACACTGGTCCCCCGCAGTGTCCAGGGGCTGCTGCTGTTCCTTGTTTCTGGCCACAAGCTGCTTGTACGAGGGCAGGCAGGGAACACCCCCCCACCCCCCCACCCCGTGCAACTTGCTTGCACGGGGGGGAGGGGATGTGTCGGTGTGAGGGGCTTCCTGGTGAGCACATGGGGTCTTCAGGACATCCCGGTGTTCATCCGCCGTACCAGTCTCAGTGCTTACTTTTCCCACTGCCTTATAAGGCTCTGTATTATTTTATTGCTTAGTTCGGGGAAGGCCTAAAAAGCCTTGGCAGAACTCAGTTTGCCCGCTACACTCGGGCCCATGTTATCTAAACTTGGTGCTAGCAAAGTCATGAAATGGCTCAGACAGGAACAATCCCAGAGAAATGACAGAAAACTTGCCTGCATCATGCGTAGCCTGAGGGGAGCATCTCCCCACCGCTGGCCAGGCATCCGGGGGCAGCTGAGGTCCACAGGTCTCATTCCGGCTTGCTTTTCTGGGCGATTTGCCTCTCCTCTCCCTGCCCCTGGGCGCCTTGCCAGCGGCCCATCTTTGCCCCTCTCAGGACCTTTGTTGGCTCTAGTGTCCCTGGTTTTCCCAGGGTTTATCATGTGCCTGGAACGGGTGGTGCTGCTTACAAACTGCCCCCCTTGAAGGCTGATCTGTTGTAGCCCCTGGGTGCAGGTTACCTACTGCCTCTGGGAGCAGTTCAGTCCTCTGCTTTCCTGGAGTCACACACGGAATTTCCTTGACCTCTTTTTCCCACCCACTACAGAATTAGTTCAAGGGCTCTGAACTGTTGTGACTATGCCACGCATGTGCCTTGCACCAGGGAATCCCCTGGTGCTCCGGTGTGCCTTGCAAAGGGGTGGGGGGGTCCATGGTGCTCACGAGCGAGCAGCTCACGTGGGGGTGGGGAGGCTGTGACAGTTGGTATTTATATGAATTAGTTCTATGAAAAGCACATTATGAATTATGAATTAGTGATGTTTTCTACCTGCTCTGCAGACACTGCCATTCCAATAAAGGGCAGTGGGGAGGGCTTGGCCCAGCCCCACTCTGCTCTTCAGGCTCTTGGCCCTGTCTTTGTCCAGCTGGCTGGGGTGGGGAGAGGGGGCATGGTGGGCACTGCAGCTGCAGGGACCCAGGGGGCCTATTCTGGATTATCGTGGCACCAGGTGCGCAGGGAGGGGACGCCAATTGGAGTTGTGCCCAGCACAAAGGGATGGGGTGGTGAGTGAGAGCCGGAGCCTGGCTTGGCAATCAGGTGTTTATTTCCAAGGGGCCGTGACAAGGTACCCAATCTACAGCAGTGTTGATAGACACACAGTGCGGAGCCCCCCCAACCCCACCACACCTCCCCAGCCTGCTCTGGTGCCCTGAGTGTCCAGGGGTGGGGGTGGGGGTCAGGTCCAGGTCCCCATTTCATGCCAGGAACCTGCAAGCTGGGAGGCAGGCTCCCCCTGCTCCTGCCTGGCTTAGGGCCATGCCCAGTGTTAGCAGTTGGGTCAAGCTTAGAGCCCAGCACCTTCCCCCCCCCAGGCCACAGCATAAGTTCCCTGCTACCCTGTGGCAGCTCAGGACATGGCTTCTAAGGCCGCATGACACCACGGGGGAACAGCGGGCATCTCCCTGGGCTAAGCACTGCCTACATCCCACCAGACAGAGGAAGGAGCAGGGAGTACCCCCCTTTCCCCCCCCATCAGTACTTCAGGGGGGGAAAAGGGGACACCTGCTGGGACTTGAGCACATCCATACCATGTTCTGCAGCTCCTCAGCCCCCGAGATGGGTAGAGCTGGCTGCTGGGAGACTTGGACAGGGGGTGGGGGGATGCCACCTGCCCATTTGGGCCAAACCTAAGGCTTTGTCTGCTCTGCCCAGAAACAGGTGCCAAGGGGCAGGGCGGGGGACCAGGAGATGGCAGGGCTGGGGAGAGAAGGAAGGGGGTGTCCTAGTCCCCTGCACCAGGCTCAGCCAGTGCAGCCCCTTGCCAGGCTGGAGCTGGTGGGCAGGGTGATGGGGGCAAAAGCCAAGGGTCAGAGGTCATGGACTCGGGCAGGGCCCAGTCCCAGGCTTGAGATGACGCTTGGCTGCCAGTGACGCCACTTGCCTAGCTCACTGACAACAAGACCCCATCTCCACTCAGACCCCCTAGCCCCCACTTCAAGCCTGGGACATCTCTGCCAGTTACCGAAGGCTTCATACCGCAGCCGGGGCCGCACTCGGCAGCTTGGGACCCTGGCAGAGGCCCCACACGATGGGCAGAGCCGGGCGCCCCTTCCTAGCAGCTATGGCGAGGGGCAGGGGGGCACGCAGGGGGCAAGATCGGCCTACAAGAAGGCGCTGGGGTTGGCTCGGGGGTCCTTCTGGTTGCGGTACCGCATGGCAAGCCACACACCCAGGATCTGGAAGAGAGACATGAGGGTGGGGGGGGCAGCTGGGGCATAGGCCAGCCCCCATCCCCCCTCCTGTACCCACCATACCTCCGTGAAGCTGAAGAAGAGCCCAACACCCCCCAAGATCTTGAGGGCCTCGTCCGAGTGTTTGAGCATCTTCTCCCCACAGGTGAGGCAGACAACACCCTGCTCCCGAGAGCCGACACATTTCTGCAAGGCAGGAGGGGGCACAGGGGTGAGATGCTGCCATGGGGGGGTAGAGCCCCCCCCCCAGCCCCAAATTCCTCTCTCTGGTCCAGCCAAGAGAAAGCATCAAGGTACTGGCAACTCCGGGCATCTCAGCCAGTAGCAGCACTAGCAGCTCAGCTGAGGCAGATTCCACCACCCCCCAGACCCCCACTCACTGCGTGGCAGAGGCTGAGATCAGTCTGGAAAGTGCAGAGGGTGTCCGGGTCCCTGGTGTCGTTGAAGAGCCCGCAGCAGTCCAAGCTTTCCTCCACGCTCTGCCGTGTCTGGTTGCTCAGCAGGTGCCAAGTGGTGTTGAAGAGGCTCTCCTGGGGCAGCCGTTAATTAGCGCTCATTAATTGGCATTCAATCCGGACCTGCAAGCCAGTGCCCTCCCTGCCTGCTGCCCCCACCCTGGCAAGGGGGTGTTGGGGTATAGCCACTACCAAGTGCTCATCTCTGCCCCCATAAGGGTAAGATATGAGAAGGGGTGGCAGTAAAATCAGAGATGAGGGTGGGGGTGTCTGGCTGGGTCTGGGGGGCTGTGCCCACCCTGCTGGGACTCACCTGCCGGCTCCGGTTCAGCGCCAGGCACGAGCAGGAGATGCCAAACTGGAAGATGAAGACGAGGCCCAGGATGATCATGTACTGGGGACAGAGTCAAGGAAAGAGGTGACGGCTCCCTGTCACCAGCCCCCCTCCAGGGTGCCTGGGCACAGCATCTGGTGCCCATGAGCTTGGTACTCTGGCAGGACTCCTCTCATGATGATGGGACCTCTCTTCAACCCATAGAGGTCTCATCCCAGGGCTTTGTCCCCTTGGCCCAGGTGCCAGCTGCCTAATGCATAGTGCCCAAGTGACTTGCCCAAAATGGGACCCCTGCCTCATACCCAGCAGGGCCCTGGATGCCTGGGTTCTTGTAGTTGGGTGGGGTCTCCAGGGTCCCTTAAATCAGCACAGCTGCCCACAGGGCCACAGCTTCTACCCCTGCCACCTCAGGGGGGTGAGGTCCTCTGCCATCCATGGCATCACAGCATTGCCTAACAACCCCCATCCTCATTTTAGGGTATCCCCCCAACCCCCCTCTGGGCATCTGACACACCGTGACTGCATCTGCCATTGGTACGGCAGCCAGAGGGAGGTCAGTGCCACCTCCAGCACCCAGTGAGCAGTTTTGCCAGAGAAGCAAGGTGCCAAAGCTGGAACTCAGGACTTGTGCTGGTCCCAAGGGGGGGCGGAAGCAGCATCCCTGGGAGGGAAGAAGGGGATGGAGGTTTCATAGTAGCTAGGGGCAGGAGGGACCTGAACAGATCATCTAGCCTGACCCCCTGCCACAGGCAGGAATAAATGCTGGGTTCACAAGACCCCAGACCATCCAACCTCCTCTTGAATTTGCCCAAGGTAGGGGCGAGGACCACTTCCCTGGGAAGTTGGTTCCAGATTTTGGCCACCCTAACTGTAAAATATTGCCTTCTGATCTCCAACCTAAACCTATTCTCCATCAGCTTGTGACCATTGCTCCTCATAGAGGTGGCAGAGCTCTCCCCAATCCGAGCTGCAGTAGGGTGTTGATTTAGGAGGTGCCAGGTCTGTGTGTTTATTGTCCCCCCGGGTGCCTTTGGCCAGCTCCAGAGCCCCCCTGTGACATGTCACGTGTGTATGTGAAGGGGGTCTTCCAGGATCAGGCCAAGCCCTGGTCACCAAAGGATACAAAGAAGAGCAGGACCTGGTGGTGGTGGACGGCACCGACCAGGCCCACGACAGCAATAAGCAGCAGGAAGATGCCCACAGCGAGGACGCCGCCGATGATGCGAATGCTGGAGACAATGTCAAAGCCCTTGCCCCAGGCGGCCACGCCAATCAGCAGCAGCCCCACCAGCTAGAAGAGATCAGGACAGCAGGTCACCAGCATGACCTTGGCACCCAGGCTGGGGGAGGGAGGAGCACTGCCAGGACCCTGGCCCCAAGACTGGGGGAGGAAGACTGGCAAGACCCCAGCCCTAATGCTGAGCTCTAGAGTCCTGGGTTCTAGTCCCAGCCGGTCACTGCTCTTCTTGGTGCCTGTTTCCCTTAAGTTCCCATAGGAGATGCTCAGGGAGAGGAGTAGGGGTGCTCACCAGCTGTGTGGAGCCCACTGTCCCTGGGCTGTGGCTAAAGTGTATCCTGATAATGCTAGTTTGCCCCGCAACCCCAAATGCCCCCTCCTGCTCTATCCCTGCCTCATGTGGGGGGGAATAGCTCAACCCCTTCCAACAGGGCTGCTTGTGCAGACAGGCAGCACCAGCTGGATAGGGGCCTTGCCTCATGCTTTATGACTCCCTTTCTGCTTTCGCCAGGGGCTCCCCACCCTGTCACACCCAGGCCTGAGCCCACATCCCAGCACTGCGTCAGCAGCTTAATTACTGACGCGGGCACAGGAGGGAGCCGGGCGGGGCGGGACCCCCAAGCCAGGCCCCCAGCACAGCCCCTTTGTGCTGCAATAGCTTTGGGTCTCGTGAGGATTCGGCTTCTAGCAGCGGCCAGAACGAGCCGTGCCCTCCGTTTGCAGATACCCAACACCCTAGCCTCAGGTCCTGGCACAAGGTGATACCAAATACCTGCCTGCTCCAGTGCCCACATCACGGCTGCCTGGGGGGAGGGGGTCCTTGCCAGCTATTTTGACTCCCCTTCTTCGAGGAGGCGGACAGAGGCATGGGGG